AGGGGGCAAAGGGTGAGAACAGAGGGATGAGGATGGGCAGGTGTGAAATCAGAGTTGTATAATTTGTTAGGTGGAGGGAGGGGAGTAAAGAAAATGGGACAGATCCGGTAGGGACCTGAAAGACAGGATAATGGTGGGTATAGTCCAATGGTGAATAATTTTATAAAACATAATGAATGGAAATGATTGTAGGAAACACAATGTGAATGAAGAATAGTGTGAAACACAATGTATAGGAACTTTTAAAGCAAATCAATATAAAGTATAAAGTAAAAAAGAAATAAGATAGCAAAGCTTCATCCTTTTTATTTTGGGTAGGTTGAATGGAAAAGCCTATTCGTCAGAAAGGGATATCAAAGGTGGAGAAGCAGAGAAAGAAAAGGATGAGAAAAAAAAATCAACAGCAACCAGAGAGATACAAAATGAAACCACACTGAGATACCATCTCACTCCAGTAGCAGTGGCAAAGCTTACCAACACATCAAACAATAAATGATGGCAAAGATGTAGAGAGATCAGAACTCTTTTGCACTGCTGGTAGGGTTACAAAATGGTATAACTGCTACAGAAGGCAGTTTGGTAGTTTTTCAAAAAGCTGAACACAGAATTCCTTTATGACCCAGCTATTTCACTGCCGGAACACATTCCAAGGAAATCAGAACTTAGACATGTATGGAGATATGTCCATCTATGTTCACAGCAGTGTTATTCAAAATAGCAAGAAAACAGAAACAGCTCAAACATCCATCAAGAAACAAATGGATTAAGAAGTTAAAACAATATTATGTTTCACTAGGAAACCAGAACTTTGTAAAATACTGTGTAACTTGGGAGAGACTAGAGAGCCTTATGCTGAGTGAAATATCTAAGTCACATAAGAACAAATATTGCATAAAGCTACTATTTTGGTAACAGGAAGATAAATGAGCAGGGTATGTACAAATGTTTAAAAGGTGAATGGGGAAAGGGACAAGGAGGGGTAGCAAAAGAGGACAGGGAAAAATCAATGGGACAGTGGAGTTTGATGGGTGGAGGGGAATGAAGAATTGAGAAATGCTCAATGGGGACTTGAAAAGAAAGGAAGATAACAGGCATAATAATAATAGTTGTGGTTTGCCATCAAGTTGAAACTGATCCATGGTTCATAGTGATCCTCCAGTGGGTTTTCTGGGACAGTAAGACTTTTGGGAAATGATTGCCCATTCTTCTATGGAGCAGCTGGTGGATTAGAATTGTGAGACTTTGGTATTACAGCACAGCATCTTACCACTAGGCCACGAGAGCTAATTATATAAATTATAAAGCATACAAATGACTGACTAAAACACAAGGTATGTTGTTGTTGTTGCTAAGTGCCATCGATTTGCAGGCGACTCATAGCGACCCTATGAAGGAGAGTGCTCGACACTTGGTTGCCTTTCATCCTCTCTCCAAGTTCATAGGGTTTCCGGAGGCAAGCTACTATGGAAGTGGATGCCACTCCTCCTTCCAAAAACATAAGGCATATGAATGCTTTTATGCAAACCAATTTTTTTCAAAATTTTTGTCATGCATACTCATATTTATTGCTGTGTTATTCACAATAGCAAAAGAGATGAAAACAACCCAAGTGCCCATCAAAAAATGAATGGACAGAAAAACTATGGTATATTTACATAATAGAACATTACACAGCATTGAAAAACAATAAACTCATAAAACATTACACAACATGTAGAACCCTGGAGGACATTATGCTAAGTGAAATAGCTCAATCACAAATGGATAAACACTGCATAAAACCACTGTTCTAAAAACAGAACATACATTGTGGGGGAGGAGGTAGAGAATGGGAAAAGACTGGATAGATAATGAGCACCACATTAGAACAGATGAAGGTAAGAATATCTAAAAGGAATATATGATTAGGCATTGTATGTGTGAAGAGAATCTGAAACAAGCAGTGCATTTCATAGTGGGGGGGAGGGGTAGAAGAGAGGAAGGGAGGAAAATGTGGAAAAATTGTCAGTAGGGTAAAAAGAAAAGCCCACAAATTGGGAAAAAATACTTGGCAATGACATGTTAGACAAGGAACTCATAACTCAAATTTACAGAATACAAAGCCTCCTTAAGAAAATACCAATAACCTAATTACAAAATGGGGACAACACATGAAGACTCTTCACCAAGGAGGATATTCAAATGGCCAGCAACACAAGAGGAAATGTTCAAAATCACCAGCAATCAGACAGATGCAAATCAGAGTTAACAATGAGCTACAATCCCACCCCAGTAGCAGCAGCAAAGTCTAACAGGGAAACAAACAATAAATGTTGGAAAGGATGTGAAGAGATTGGAACTCTTCACGCACTGCTGTTGTGACTGTAAAATGTTACTATCACTCTGGAAGGCAGTCGGGCATTTCCTAAAAAAGGTGAATATAGAATCCTAACACCCAGCTATTCTACTATTAAGAATATACTTCAAGGTAATCATAGCTGAGGCATAAATGGAGATGTGTATACTTAAGTTCATCAGAGCATTATTCACAATAGCAAGAAAATGGAAACAGCCCAAATGCCCATCAATAAACAAATGCATATAGAAACTGAGGTACACTCACACAATACTATGCAGCACTAAAGAACCATGAAGAATTCATAAAATACTACATAACATCAGTGTGTCTAGGACATTATGCTGAGTGAAAAACTCAGTCATGCAAGGACAAATACTGCATAGGACTGCTACAGTGAAAACAGGAAGGTACCCAGGGATTGAAGGGGCTGCAGAGGGCACAGTGAGAATGTACAGACAATGAACACTATAAAGGATCAGGACAAGGATCAACCTGGGAAGAACTGATGAAAGGATAGTATGGCTGTCGCAATTAGCATATAGGAATAGGGTATATACAGCTGTCCAAAAGGGGAAAGGGAAGAGGTGACAGCGGACAGAGGAGACAGGAAGGAAAAAAAACACACGGGCAGCTGAGCTTAGTAGTTGGATGGCAGATGAAGAAAAAGGCACAGTGTAACGGAATTTGAGATGAGGTGATAAAAGGTACTGATCAAAAGCAGTAAGTTAAATAATACACAAAATACATGAGTTATTGCAAACCCTCCCCCCATGTATATAAATGATTGTATAAAACACATTGTACATGATTAAAACACAATGTATATGGATGGCTGTATGAAAACCAGTTTAAAAAATTTCAAAAAACAGTATGATAAATTTCAAATAGCACTATGATTGAACTGACTCCAGTACAGGCTGATGTGCCCTGGGATCCCAGTCATTATGGCATACTCCTATCTCTGCTGTCATATGGCAGGGTCAAAGCCTAATTATTTTATGTCTACTAATTCACTAAGTATTATGTAAAAATAAGCAGCTGTTTCTAGGGCTCTTTAACTGTTGAAAATGAATGCAGACAAAAAGAGAATAAACCCTAAAGATTTCTTTTTTTTTTTTTTAAATTTTTTTATTATTTTTGTGTGCGTGTACCGTCAAATCAGATCTGACTGGTACAGGAGGAGATTGTCCCTCCTTCCCCGGCAGAGCATCTGGTGGATTCGAACTGTGCACCTCTGGGATTGTAGTTGCAGCTTCTTGCCACTAGGCCACCAGAGCTCCCCTCTAAAGATTTCTTTTATTCTTCGTTATTATACAAGAAGTTAAGCCCAAGTCTAATGATTCATATTGATCTTTCATCAGGCCTCCAAGACTATAAATCTTTTTTAAAATTTTTTAATTTTATTTTATATTGATTTATTTACAAAGTTTGAATACATTGTTTTTCACACTGGATCTTTCCCATTTCTTTACCCAAGACTATAAATCTTAACAGGAGGAGACGGCCCATCTTTGTCACTTGGGTTGGCTAGTGTATTTGAACCATGGAGCTTTTGGTTAGAAGCTCAACATATTAAGTGACACAATGTGTACATTGTGTGCTTGCTTTGACAGCAGATATACTAAAACTGGAATGATACAGAAAAGATTAGCATGGTCCCTGTGCAAGGATTACAAGCAAATTTGTGAAGCATCCCATATGTTTTATTTTTTTTAAAAAAAATACATTGTAGAGAAGTACAGCAATGAATGAACTGAAATCCAAAATCTCTGTAAATGTTCATTAAAATTATTTTTAAAAATTACTAAAATAAAATCAACAACAACAACAACAAATACATTGTAACTGCAATAAAAGGAAAAAAAAAACCCAACCAAACTCCAAAATATTACTCTTATTATTAACTCATGCACTCTTAAACTATTATGGTTCAGGTTCTATGTCAACTTGCCAGACTACAGTTCTCTAGTTTGGCAGTTATGGAATAAAATGTGGTCACTTCCATGATGAGTTCTGCTATGAATAGTTAAGCAGCTGAAAGAAGGCTTGTTTATGGATGCAGCCTGCATCAAATACAATATATGGACATAATGGCAAAGCTCTGTAATTTTCCACTCACTCTGGATCCTGCATCTAGCTGTCATCATCTAGCATTTGGTTCTTTACACTTGAACCAATTGCCTGCCATCCTATATATTGATCTTGGGTTTGTCAGCCTCTGAAGCCAGCAGCCTGCCATCTGTCCTTAGGATCTTAAGTTTATTCACCCTGGAGCTACAAGAGCTAGAAAAAGGCTGACCCACAGACTTGGGATTTGCCAACTTCTACATATGCATGAGCCACTTCCTTGAGATAAATCTCTTTCTATATAGACACATAAACGTCATTAGTTTTTGTTTCTCTATAGAAAAGCCAGCCTAAGATATACATGTACAAATCACATGTATTATATTAATATATATAATTAATATCTATCTTAATACATGCACACAAGCATGTTCACACATACAACCACCTTTATTATAGGTTAAGTATGTCAAATTTCTAAGCATCCTTCCAAAATAGGTATCATAATGGTACTGTGACAGGCAAATTTTCTCAAAGTTCCAAATATAACTAGTGGTATTTTTAAGTGACAAGAGAAAGAATCCATATGACTTACCAATATAGTTTCCAGTAAGACAACAGTATCTTCACTTTCAAATTTTTTGTTGTTTGTGAACCAGTGGATCAGTTGCATAACTAATGGCTCATATAATTGCCTTGTCACCTGCAGAAAAAAAAATCATCTCATTAGATTTAACGTTTTTAAGTTAAGAGGAATTTTGCATTGGAAAAAGTTTCATTTAAACAGGATTCACAAAAGGGCAAAATCAAGCTATAAAACTAGTTTCATTAGTTTCCTTTGATAGCTAAGTCTATGATAAACTTGTTCTAATTATTCTTCTCTTCTTCCAAGATCCCAGGCAAAGTAAAAATGTACATACTAAAACTCACAGTTCCTGTAATTAGGAGGGCACACTGGGGAATAATTATTGGGTTTTTAATATGTTTCTTTATTCATTATACACTAAAAGTACACATGGGGTGTTCTGATCAGAGACTTGTTATCAACGAGTCACTTAAAAAATAAAAGCAGGATAGTATGCCACAATCAATGGTGGCCAAGGACCTTAGTGCACAAGCATCAAAGTCACTGGACATACAAAAACCGAACTCATTGTCATGGAGAATCTTGTGACTCACTGAGAGCTTCCCTCAGGTTCACAATGCTGTAAATCTTGAAAGTAGGAGATTTTCATCTTTCTCTTAGTGGATTTCTCCTGGTGCTCAAACCTTTGATCTTTTCTGGTTAACTCATAATATCCTATGCCACCAGGGTTCCATATCATCACAGTTTCAACTCAACTCAACTCATGGCCATCAAGTCAGAACTGACTCACAGTTGACTCTCCACCAAGTTTTTATAGGTTATAAATTGCCCATCTTTCTCCCTCAGAGCTGCCGGTGAACTCAAACCACCTCCCTTTGGTTTGCAAGGCAACTTCCTATCCACTAGGTCACCAGACAACTACTCTTTCTTAAAGGCAAATGTGGTAAAACTCTGTCTCACATATTTTGGGCATTCTGTCAGAAGGCCTTGAAAAGAGACTTCATAACTGGGAAAAGTAGAAGATCAGAGAAAGTAGAAGACCATCTATTAAATAGATTAACACGGTGATTGTAATAATGAGGTCCATATTGAAGACTACAGGTACTCTTCTGCATAAAGATTAAAAAAGTATAGAGGTAGGACACATGCCCTTTCAAATTTTGAACCATGCAGTGCTTCCTTGGTTGTCCTGATGACTGCCTCTTGGTCCAAATACAGGTTTTGAATGAGCACAATCAAGTTTTCTGGGATTCCATTGTTCTCTTTTGTGATCCACACAGTCAAATGCCTTTACATCAGTGAAGTACTGACAAACTCTGGTACTCTTTGCTTTCAGCAAAGATCCATCTGACATTGGTGAGAATGTCTTTGGTGCCATGGACTCTTCTAAACTGAGCTTGTATTTCTAGTAGTTCTCTGTTAATGTACTGCTCCAATAATTTTTGGATAATCTTCAGCAGGATTTTGCTTGTGTGTGATACTGTTTGATAATTTCCACACTCTGTTGAATCACCTTTTTTTGAGGATAGGAATAAATATGATCTCTTCCAGTCGGTTAGGTAGACCATCTCCAGATTTCCTGGCATAACCTGGTGAGCATGTCCAGGGCAGAATCTGTTTGTTGAAATATGACTAGGAGTTGTAATTGGCTTGATGGCACCTAACAACAACATAAGCCTGACTACTGTTTTATGTAAAAAGAGACAAAATAATAATCTTTTTTTTCTTTTTATCTTGGTATTATCTGATAGTGTTAACCAAATTGTCCTCAATAATCACTAGTGCTGGCTAACAAGTGTCTCTAGGGAACTTCCATGTGCCAGGCACCATGTTAAATAGTAAATTTTAGAAAGGTGCCAAATTCACCAGTTTTCGTTGCTTAAAACAAAAAACGTTCATGTTACTCCATCATACAGGAAAGAGATTGGTAACTACATTCAACGGGAATGTAGTTTTCAGTTTTGCACTCAGTGTATTTACAGTCTCGCTTACTTGATCTACATCACAGGCAAGTCGGAGCAGCACCGGGAAAGTCCGCTTATAGAGGTGGTACATGGGCGGGGAGCTGTGGTCACTTTCAGGAATCTGTGTGGCTTTTCCCAACATAAACATAACCACACTGTGTAAAAGTTCACATGCTGCCACCTGGAAGAAGCCATGAAAACAGAGCTCAAGCGTTCGTATTTCTGAGACAAAAATATTTTGAAGTGTTACTCAATTTAGCCCATTTTTAGAAGGAAACAAAAGTTAAAGCAGATAAACTATCACAGAACTCAAATATAAACAGAGTGAAAACAATATTACTTGTACAAAATCTACGCCTCCATTCACTTTTAGATTTGTTTATAAGTACTGGTATTTAGAAGTTCTAGACATTCGGAATAATAATATGTGTATAAGCAATATGAAACACCTTACTGAGAGTAATTGAGCACCTAACAAAAATTACTTTTGAATGTCCTATTAAACGCTATTTTCTATTATGAAGCATTTTTCACATTAAAAGATTCTGTCTTACACCTATGAAGATTATTTATATTTAGGGTTAATTTGTCAATGTCACTTAATTCTGAAAAGTGAGTAGCATTCAAATTACTATGGTACAGAAAATAAAAAAGTATAAAATTATAAGGCTAAAAAAAATCATGTTTTCTTGAAGTATGTTCTACAAACTCTTAAAAACAATAAACCCTAAATACTGACTGAAATGAAGATTATAAGTACCTTAGTCTGTCTGTCACAAGCTAGCAGAGCTAATTCTGTGATCCGAGGCAGGAAGATGTCCAGATAAATGATGGGCTTCATTTCTACAAAAGGTACAGCAAAACTAAGCCTCTTTTCTGTGTCCCATGACACACATCTGTTCATCATTTCATCTGAGGATGCAGCTGTCAAAGGAGGAAAAACAAAGAAGAGATTTAACAAGAGTATTTTTACACTCAAAATCTTCCTAAGACCAGTTGGTCTATAATTTTATTGGTCAAACCAGAGTCTACTGTTGAATTAAGTGCTCTATTCATGATTTATTTTCATTACTTTTTCTTAAGACATGTAGACATGTAGTTACATTAGAAATCATCAGTATATTATTTCTCAATGTAATTTAATTTAAAATCCTTCTCATGCTAGTCTAAGAGTTTGAAATGTTTTATTCCCAATTTAATTAAGAATGAGGTTATTTTGTAGAAAATAAATTAGCAAAATTTATTATCAATTTTGTCTTTAAAATATTAATTTTGTCTAGTCTTAAATGGTAAAATTCATTAGTATATTTAATGGTTGTTAGGTGACTACAAGTTGACTACAACTCTCAAGAGAGCCTATGAACAATGCATCAGAACCACGCCCTATTCTGCACCATCCTCATTATTTCTATCATGCTCAAAACCACTGTTATAGTCACTGTGCCAATCCATCTTGTTGAGGGTCCTTCTCTCTTTTTGATCCTCTACCCTTCTGAGAGAGATCAGTTGGCCTAGTGGACAGAAAGTGATGCGACCAAGCCAAAGGTGGGTGGCCCTCAAGCCTGTTTTTCACTATTTTTGTTCAAACATTCCTCTAGGTCGTATAGCCCTGGTGTGTCCACTTGCCCTACAGCAGTAACTTGTGGTTGCTGTGAAGCTGAACACTGTGACACTATGTGTCAAATGCGTTAATGGTTATGCATGGCGGACAGTGTTTGTTAGAGCTTCCAGATCAAAACAAGCTTGGAAACAGGAGTGGCATCCACTTCTGTAACAGCTTGCCTCCAGAAACCCTATGAAACTGGAGAAAGGATAAAAGTCACACAACTGTTGAGGACTTTCGTTCATAGGGTCCTTATGAGTCGCCTACGACTTGCTGGCACTTAACAATGACAACCACCCTTCTGAGCATAAAGTCTCTTTTGAAGGACTGCTTCCTCCTGAAAATAAACGAGACAAAGTGAGAGAACACTCTGGTTACACTTTCTTCAAGACTGCTCTCAAAACTTTTCATTGACACCATAATTCAAAGGCATCAATTTTTCTTCTGGCATCCTTATTCATTGTCCAACTCACAGATGCACAGGCATCAACTGAAAAGATCCTGGCTTGGATCAGGCACACTTTAGTCTTTAAAGTGATGTCTTTGCTCCTTAAAATTTTTGGAGAGGTCCTTGGCAGCTATTTTCCTCAATACAACATAGCTTTTGATTTCCTGACTGCTGTGACCACAAGTGTTGACTGTGGATCTGAGAAAAAATGGAATTGTGGACAACAACATTTTCTTCAGAATTTCTGTTATCTTCATGTTGATTATGTTATCTCCACTTAAGGCTGTAGTCTCTGATCTTCTGCAGTAAGTGATTTTTTTAAAGTCTTTTTAAAAATTTATTTAACTTTAATTTCTGAGGTAAAATATTTTTTCTTCCAACTTCCATAACAAAACACAGAGCTATCAGACACCCCTGGAAAAAAATGTGTATTATATTTATATAACCAATGAAACACAAGTAAAGGTATTTCTGGTATTCTCTGCTTGCAGTCAAGATACACCTGGCATCAGCAACGCTCTCTTGTGCAATACTCACTTCTGAAATCAGTTTCAATTTCTGACAGCTCCCTGTTGATGTGCTCTTCCAGCCATTTAAAAATAATCTTTAGCAACATAGTATTAATTATGTTGCTCAGTTCAATAATCTTTCGGATTACCTTTCCCCCCCTTTTTTTAATTAATTATAATGAAAGTTTACAGATTGGATTTCCATTCATTCATTGTTGCACTTTTCTCCCTGCCCAACTCTTCCCCCCAATTCGCTCTTCTCTTTGAAAAGTAAAATTCTTTCACTGCTATACAATCCCTCCCCACGAATCCACTCCACTATCCAGCCTTCCTTCTGAACTCCTGTCATGACTATAATACCTAATCATATAATCCTTTTTAACAGTTCTCTCCCTCATCTGTTTCAATGCAGTATATAATAATTATCCCCTCTTTCTGTGTCTCCTGGCAACCCCAATGTCAGTTCTGTTTTACAACAGTGGCACTATGCAATATTTGTTCTTTTGTGACTGAGATATTTCACTCAGCATAATGTCATCCAGGGTCACCCATTTTGTATATTATTTCAAGAGCTCCTTTTTCAATGCAGTGCAGTATTCCATTGTGTGAATAATATATCAGAACTTCTCTATCCATTCATTTGTTGATGGACCAAATCACCTTTTTTAAAGAGCTCTGGTGCCTTAGTGGGTAAGGCGTTGTGCTACCAACTTTAAGGCTATCCACTAGCTGCTCTGTTAGAAAAAGATGGGCAATCTCTTCCCATTTGATTCAAAGTCTCTGAAACCTCGCTGGAGGGTCAGCTATGATTTGGTTCCTATAACAACTGTGTATTTAATATCAAATCACAACCGAATGGATTGAGAAACTGTGGTACATTCACACAATGGAATATTATGCAGCACTCAGGAGCAACGATTTTGAAAAATACTACATAACTTTGGAGAGAACAGAGAGCATAAGTGAACTAAGTAAATCTCATAAGGACAAATACTGTGCTAAGACCATTACTGTAAAAAATACAAAGATATCTAGTAGAACATTATGGAGATACAAAGGGGGAGGAAGTGGGAGCAGAGGGGTGAGGATAGGCAGGGGGGACAACACAGAGTCATACAACTTGTTAGGTAGAGGGAGAGGGTAAAGGGAATGGGAAAGATCTGACAGGGACCTGAAAAGACAGAGTATTTGTAGGCACAGCCCAATAGTGATTAATTTTAGAAAACACAATGAATAGGAATGATCACATAAAACATGTTAATGAAGGAAAGTGTGAAACACACAGAGATGGAAAAAAACTATGTACATGAATGGAATATCATGTATATGCATACCAGTAAAAATTCGGAAAAAAGAAATTAAAAAATATATGAATAGGTATTTACTAATCAAAAATATTAATTCTCATCAAATAAAATTCAAAACATCCCAATAGGAAGAACATACATTTTTAAAGTATATTAATTTCCAAATTCCTTGACATAATCTTTAATGTTCAAAATGAAAAACATCTTTAAAAGAATCAAGCTAGAATATTTTTTCTTCTTAACATACTGAATTACTCAGTCCATACAGGTGTAGTGAAAACATTTTCATTAGAGAAAAGAGTGCTCTCTATAATCTTGTTTGAAAATATGTAAACTACATGTTGTTGTTGTTGATTGCCTTGGAGTCGAGCATGACTCATAGCAACCCTATGAAAAAAAGATCTGGAGCCCCTCTGTAACTATCGACATTTATCAAAGTTCATAGTTTCCAGAGGAATGTTATTTAGGAAATGGATGCCACTCCTGCTTCCAAACCTGTTACAGAATATTATTGGTCGAGTCCCCTGCAATGCATAGTGACCCTATATACAGTAGCTCTGAACCATTCCCTGTCCTGAGCCAGTCTCACTACTTCTGACAAACCAACCCCCATCGTTCCAGTTACTTTGTCAATCCATCTCATCCAGGGTCTCCCTCTCCTGCACCGTCCGTCCACCCTTCCGAGCATGATGTCCTTCTCCAAGTACCGATCTCTCCTGGCCACATGACCAAAGTAAGTGAGGTGGAGCTACAAAATCCTAGCCTCCAAGAGAGACTTGGTTTCACAGTCTCCAAGACATAGCTATTTGTTTTCTTGGCAGTCCATGGTATGTTCAAGGCTCCTCTCCAGCACCACAACTCGAAGACATCTATTCTTCTGTCATCCTTAGTCATTATCCAACTTTCTGAAGCATAACAAGTAATTAAGAAAACCATGGTTTGGATTAGGCACACCACCTTTGTATCTAGACTGACATTGTCTTCAGCACTCTGAAGAGGTCCATGACAGCTGATTTTTTTAATGCAATTTGTCTTTTGATATCCTGACTGCTGGTATTAAGAGTGTTGACTGTGGATCTGAGCAAGCTGTAATTGCTAACAACCTCAATCTCTTCTCCATCTATCACGGTCCCGCCAATTGGCCCAATGGTGAGAATCTTTGTCTTCTTGATGTTGAACATCAATCCATACTGAAGACTACAGTCTTCAATAAGACCTTCTGCAGCAAGTGCTTCAGGTCTTCTTCAGTTTCAGCAAGCAAGGTTGTGTCATCTGCATATCATAGGTTGTTAATGAGTCTTCCTCCAATCTTGTTGCCACACTCATCTTTATAAAGCCCTACTTCCCAAATGATCTGTTCTGCATACAGATTTAAAAGGTACAGGGACAAGATGCATCCCTGATGCACTCCTTTCTTAGCAGTCCAAGATATATTCAGTACTCTTCTCCAGCAAAGTAGTTAATTTATTTTAAAGTTTACCTGTTACAAGATTTCTGTTTATTTGTCCTCCTAGAGATCCAAGCATATGTATGACTTTCATTCTTATTGCCTCTAAGGATAGGGCTTCATTCTGTAAATTTAACAATTACACATGAATTAATTAAAAAAGTCACATTCAACCATAGATATGCATTTTCCTGGCCTAAAATTCTGGCATGAGTCATTCACAATCTTTTTATTTTTTAAATTTTCTTTTAATTATTATTATTTTTTGTGTGTGTGAGTGTACCGTCAAATCAGATCTGACTGGTACAGGAGGAGACTGTCCATCCTGGATGAGTCATACACAATCTTAAAAAAATGCCCAGGGCCTCCAAAGAGCTTCTGTTTATATGGATAGAATTTATCAATATTTATTGTATAAAAATTTATAAACTATTCTAAATTATTTTATTAAAAAATATTAAGCCCACTATATATTAATAAGTGGTGGTGGTGGTGGTGGTTATTAAGTTCGAGTTGCTTGTGACTCATAATAACCTTATGTATAACAGCTGTAAATCCTGCTCTATCCTGTGCCAATCTTATTGTCTCTGACACACCTACTCCATTATCCCAGTTAGAGTCAATGTTTTATCCTGTGCCAATCTTATTGTCTCAGACACACCTACCCCATTACCCCAGTCACTGAATCAATCCATCTCATCCAGGGTCTTCCTCTCTTGGGCTGGCCCTCTACCCTCCCAAGGATGATGTCCCTTTTCAATGATTGGTCCCATGATATCCACGATATAAAAATCTGACTCATTTATTAAATATGAATGTCACTATTTTTTATGATCCACAAAATAAATTTAGAGGAGAGGTAAACAAGAAAATAATGACAATAAATAGTTACTACACTTTCCATCTTAATTTCTACAGTTACATTAAAAGTACTTTTATAACATACTCTTAATTTCTATGCAAAAAAATAATTTTAAGTTGAGATTTTTAACTTTTCATAAATATTAGAATCTCTTATCTGCATTATTTAAAGAATATACAAAGGATTTCTTACTGATGTTGTGTTCTTTGTCTTCTTCAAATGCTTCAATACAACTTTATGAAACCCTTTCTGGGCAGCCCGGGAGAGTGCAGATATTTCCCAGTTATTCTTAGTCTCATCTAATGAACAGTAAAGAAAAATCAATTTCAAATTATATTCGTGAATTTATTTGGAATATACAAGAACATATGTACTCCGAAATAAAAACTATAAATTTATACATTAAGTTTAAATATTAAGCCAATATCTAAAAGGAGTTGCTTGGAGAAATGGCCTACTCCAGGCCCTGGGGAGATATGCATTGAAAGAGTGAGCCTGGAGAAAGGGGCACTCAGAGCACAGCAGGGTGCCAAGGCCTTCAGAACATACAAGCTAAATGTGGGACAATCTGGACAGAGGAAAAAACAAAGACAGTGAAAGGACACAGAGAGAAAAAGAAATATTCATGAGGCCACACAAATACAGAGAAAAGTAGTTACTTCATACAAAAGCATACACTTTTATCTGTGACTGATGGGAATGCAAGCTAGCAGAGCTGATTCAAAACCTGTATAACTCAGAAATTTCATTCCTGTGATTCAGGGACTTGAACAACAATGCTCACTGATGGACTAGTCCTAATAGACTATAGATGAAAAGAACCTAAATATTCTTTGAAAGACAAATAGAAAACAAAATATGATACATGTAGACAAAAAACTGTTGTAATGAATTATCAACTCAGAAATGACTCATGGTCCACCCTCCGGCAGGATTCCAGAGACAATACATCCTACAGAAGAAGACTGCTCATCTTTCCTCTGTGGAGCAGCTAAAGGATTTTAATCGTGTGCTTTGGAGTTGGTAGTATAATTCCTTACCACTAAGCCACCAGGTCGCCCTACAACAGACTTTTTGTTGTGTACTGATGAGTCCGAACCAACTCATAGCTGACTCTCCAGTGGGTTTTCAAAGGCTGTTTAGTTGCACTTGAGATAACTGATCCTTCTCTCTCGGAGTATCTAATGGATTTGAACTGTGTGACTTTGGAATGGCAGCACAGCTCCTTACTACTAGGGCACCAGAGCTCCCAAACAGATGACTGTTGTTATTGTTAGCTGCTGAAACTCATGGAGACCCTGCCTGAGCTCTGCCCTATCTCATGTCACCCTCACCATCTCCAAAACATTCAAGCCCACTGCTGAAGCCAATCCACCTTATCTGGGGTCTTCCTCTGCTTCATTAACTCCCTCACTGATGTTCCTCTCTAATGTATAACCTCACCTAGATACATGTCCCAAGTGTGAAAGATGAAATTTCACCATCTTTATCATAAAGAGCACTCTGTCCATACCCTCTTCAAGAAAGTGACAGTCTATGTCTGGGTGTCTAAGGTTTATCATTCAGAATAAAAAATTTCAGAATAAAAATTTATTATTTTTTATTAAATTTTATTAATTTATAGTTTTATTATTTCAGAATAAAAATTTCCTAGCCAATCATTAATTATTTATGTTGTACTGAAGGAATTATTCAATTAAGGAGAGAGGATTAGGATGGGATATAAGCCCCACACTACTACAGGCTTATATAAATCCATGGGACTTCAGCACAAGGCACTTTCTTTTGTGGAACCCTCCTTCATCTGGGACACTGCATCCAGCCTGGCCCATTGTTCACCAATCTCCACACTACCAGCCTGTATGACCCATAGTTGTCATCCAGCTGTGCCACAACTGAAAGGCTACAGGATCTTGGTCCACTGCTCACTCATTTCTCCAAAACCAGCATTCTCCTGATGGGTCTAAGTCTCTGTGAGACCTTTTAGCAAACCACCAAACCCAAGGGACATAGAGGTAGGGACCTAAACAAGGAAGTGATGTTGATATCAGAAATTATGGACTTATACAGCAGGTCAAGCACTTGGGACAATATTGACTTGACACTTCTTAAAATTGGTTTGCTACTCATTTCAGCAGAATGAATTATAAAAACTCCAGGGGACAGTCAGTACTCTTCTCCAGCACCACAGCTCAAAGCCATCAATTCTTCTTGCATTCTTACTACTACACAACAAGCCTGATGGCCTAGTGGTAAGGAATTGCATTGTTAACCCAAAAGCACATAGTTCAAATACACCAGCTGCTCTACAGGATAAAGATAGACAATTTCCTCCTGCATGCTTTACTGCTTCTGAAAACTCACTGGAGGGTCAGCTATGTGCTGGTTTCAACTCGACAGTACACAATAACTCAACAATTAAGAGAAATATAGTCTTGTTATATGCTAAAATATGGAGCTTAGAGGCATTAAACTGAATAAAAAAGTCAATTAGAAAAAGATAAATATTGTATGAGCTTACTTATTTTAAAAAAACCAATAAAAGGCAGACATTTAGAGAACAAATTTTATTAAGGTTACCATTAGTGTTAGGCTGGCACCGGGAGCTCTGGTGGCCTAGTGATAAGAACCTGCACTACAATCTCAAAGGCAGGTGGTTCAAAACCACCAGCTGCTCCACAAGAGAAAGGTGGGCAATTTCCTTCTGTGCAATTAACTACCTCTGAAAACCCGATTGGATGGTCAGCTATAGGTCAGTTCTGACTAGACGGTAAACAGCAACAGCAAGGCTGGCACAGAGGAGGAAAAGGGTGTTACTGCTTATGGACTTGAATTTTAATTTATGGTGCTAGAAAAACTGTTATAATTAAGGCTAGGTTTGTAAAATAAATTAAATGCTAGTAATGATTTGGACACTTGTAAAAAGTTGTATTATCAAAGCTGTCTATCAGACATACAACGATGACCTAAAAGAACAAAACCTGACAATGGCTATGCACAACCAAACTTCATAGAATTTGATTTCTTGGTTTGGAAGTTTCATAGGCTATCTTAGTGAACTGGTCATATTATGCAAATGACACAACCTTTCCTGCTCAAAGTGAAGAGGACTTGAAATGCTTGCTGCTGAAGATCAAAGACTACAGCATTCAATATGGATTGCATCTCAATATAAAGAAGACAAAAGTCCTTTCCACTGGACTGATAAGTAACATCATGATATAGAAGAGACAGAAACTGTCAATAATTTAATTTTACTTAGATATGCAATCAACACCCTTGGTCCTGTTTTTGCTATGTGCCGTTGAGTCACTTGGACTATCAGCGACTCAGTTCTAAACCCTGCTCTATCCAGTATAAATCTTATTGTCTCTGACACAAGTACCTCCATTACCCCAGTCACTGAATCAATCAATCAATCACATGGAGGGTCTCCCTCTTTTGCGCTGTCCTTCCACCCTCCGAAGCATGATGTTCTTCTCCAAGGACTGGTCCCTCCTTGCAACATGCCTGAAGTACGTTAGACGAAGCTTCAGAATCCTTGCCTCCAAGGAGCAGTCTGGTTTCACCCTCTCTAGGTCGAACCTGTTTGTTCTCCTAGCCATTGATTATATATTCAATACACTTCTCCAGCACCACAGCTCAAAGGTATCAATTTTCCTTCTATCATCCCTAGTCATTGTCCAGCTTCAGGCACACCTTAGTCTCCAGACTGACAATATTACTCTACCATATTTTGGAGAGGTCTCTGACAGCAGACTTTCCCAATGCAACTCATCTTTTAATTTCCTGGCTGCTGGTACCAAAAGTGTTGATTGTGGAGCTAAGCAAACTGAAGCTGTTAACAACCTCAATTTCTTCATTGTCTATCATGATTCTGTTAATCAGCCCTGTGGTGAGAATCTTTATTTTCTTGATGAGCTTCAATCCATATTGAAGGCTGAAGTCCTTGACCTCCTGAAGCAAGTGCTTTAGGTCCTCCTCAGTTACAGCAAGCAGGGTTATGTCATCTGCATAATGCAGATTGTTGATAAGTCTTCCTCCAATCCTGATGCCACATTTCCCCTCATATAACCCAGCCTCCTAGATAATCTGTTCCCCATATAGACTGAAAAGGAATGGAGATATGACACATCCCTGGTGTATACCCTTCCCAATTTTGAACCATATAGGTTTTCTTTGCTTTGTTTGGACAAATGTCTCCTGGTCAAAGTGTAGGTTTTACATAAATACTATCAAGTGTTCTTTGATTGCCATTCTTCTCAGAGTTAGCCACAGTTTGTTGTGATCTTAGCAGTTAGGAAATCAGGAGATGTATTTCACTGGACAAGTGTACTGTCAGAGACCTCTGCAAAGAGATAAAGAGTAATGATGTCAATTTAAAGACTAAGGTGCCCCTGATTCAGATAATGGTCCTTTCTAACACTTGTTATGCATCTGAGAGCTGGACAATCAAAAAGGATGATAGAAGAATTGATGTCTTTGAATTGTAACATTAGAAAACAGTACTGAAGTTCCCATGGACTGCCAAAAGAATAAACAGATATGCCTTGGAAAAAGTGAAGCCAGAATGCTCCTTGGAGGCAAGAATAGCAAAGTTTCATCTCACACACTTTGGGCTGTTGCTAGAGAAGGCTATTCCTTGGAGAGGGACAACATGCTTAGAAAGGTCAGCAAAAGAAAGACCCCTAACAATATCAGAGGCCAGGCTAACTTGCAAAGCAAGATTAGCACTGCATTGTAAAATCAACAGGACTCATTCCATCTTGGCTAGAGCATCTGCTTGGCAGTAAACAACTCCAGGAAGCAGAATGCTAATGAATTGGGAGTGACCATAGGAGGAATGTGATGCTCTTTATCTTCAGAGACTCTTTGTTTCTCAAAGCACACAATAAGGCATTCTGGAAGAGGGAAGATATCTTTGTTTTGTGTTGAGGTCTGTGAGGGTTAATGTTTGACCTGACATGTGATTATCCCTGCAGGCATGCTTCTAAAATCTATATAAACCTTTTCCAAAATATTAAATTTGCTATTCGTCACCTACGATTAGTCACTCTGCATCTTCATTTAATCCTCGTCCCTTCTCTCGGCAAAACTGTTTCGATATAACGGGCAGGACCCCATTATAACAAGATGGACTGACAGTGACTACACCAATGGGCTCAAGTGGGTCAGAAATAATGAGAACAGCACAGGATAGGGCAGGGTTCAGATCTGTTGGCCACAGGGTTGCCAAGTGTCATATATGACTTGATGGCACTTAACAACAAAAGTAACTGTGCTTCTTTTTCACCTTTCA